TCATCCCCTTCCTCCTAAAAACGTCATTTTCAACTTAGGGCTTGAAAGATCTTGGATTGGGAGACGATTTTAAGGCTTTTTGACACCGAATTTGATCATTTCTAGGTAAGAGCTTTACTCAAAACTAAAAATATTTGATTTTCACCGTGGATTTCTTCCACATTAAGGAGATCCGAAAAATTTGAGAATGTGAAGAAAATATTGAGAAGAAGTTCATGGAAATTAGTGTTAAACTCTTAAAATTACTTTTGGAAGCCATTATTTGCATATTTGAAGTATATTTTAGAATTTTTCTATAATTTGATTAGATTGAAATGGCTCCACATCAAAAGAGACGAAATTGAGTTCGACGAGTCTCACTTCTTCAATGCAATGGCTCAAACAAGATTTATTTCCATATTTAAAGGAAAGAAGTGTATACAAGATCGAGTTTTTGAAAGTCTAGGAGGAGAAATTGAAAGGAGGAGAGTTATTGCCGAGCAGAGGTGGGAAAACTTTTGTTACACCACCAATAAAGCTGATGCAAACGTTGTAAAGGAGTTCTATGCCAATGTAATCTATTATGAGGATGGAATCGTTCAAGGGCGTGGATTTCCTGTTGAGTTTATTGCCGCCCGCATCAACACTTTTTATGAAGCCCCAGATTCTTATAGCTGCCAATATGAATCCTTTAGTATAATGGAAGGCCCCCTTAATGATGTGATCAACTTTCTCACTGATAGAAAATGAACGTGGAAGATTAAACAATGATAGCAGGTAAATTTTTCTGCTTCCATGTTGAATGTCACTTCTAAGGCGTGACACTATTTTATTTCCTCTACTTTATTACTGACTTATCACCATAGTGAGGTAACAAGAGATAGAGCTATTCTGAATTTCTGTATTCAGAATAATAAAACTCTAAATGTGGAGAGAATAATTTTTAAGAATATATTGACTACGGCGAGGAGTGAGACAAGTGGAGGTCTAGGACATCCTGACCTTATTTATGCACTTTGCCAACTTTCTGGAGTGAAAGCTGGAGATGAAGAATGGGTTTACCCTATGAAGCCCATTAGTAAAGCCAGTTTAAAGACTTATGAATCCCATAAGAAATGAAGAACTGGAAGCAGGAGTGAAGGACCTTCTATTAGTAGAGATGTCCCCTCTACAAGTTATAACCTTCCACCTTCTAGTTCCCCTACCCTAATTGACTTGATGAATGAGTTGAACTTGCAGCGGAAGAACATAGAATTGATAAATGAAAGGATTGGAGGTTTAGAACATCGACACGATTACGAAAGTGAGTACCTTCAGAGGCATTCAGATTTTGAGATATCCTGTTATGAAGCTCAGGCCCGACACTACAGAGGTGAGCCTGATGTTACTTTTCTTGAGTGCCCCCGGTATACTATGTATCAACCCGATTCACCTGGTGATCAAGGCGATGAAGATATAGCTTAGGATTTTGATATTTGAATGTAATTGATGTACTTATATTTGTACTTTTATTTCTGTGATTTTGTTTGTAATAGAAATGGATGTTCGTGTATTTGGACTTCCCTTTTTAGTATTATGTTGTACTTGGATAATTTTAATTTTTGTTATAAAGTTAGTGTTATAGTTAAATGTGCATGTGTAGTTTAATATATGTTGAGTAATATTTTGTAGATTGTAATGTAGTGTGATCTTTATTTTTGCATTTTAATTGTAATTGTTTTGTTTAGTAGTATTGTGGTTGTGTTAGGAAATATTGTGCTTGTTTAATACTTTAGTTTTATATTTATTTCAAAATTTCATTACCCATAAATTTTTCTAATGATTTATATGTGTAGAAAGCTCCTAATATTACAGACCAGGTGAAGTAGAAAAGTTGAGAAGGACTGCAAAAATTTCAGAATGATGAAAATGCCTAAAATACTAAGGTATGATTTATATTTAGAGTTTGTCTTTCCACCTGTATTATTTCATATTTAAGACTTTAAGTTTGGGGGATGGAAGAAAAAGATTAACTATTAGATATCCTCTATTTCAATATTTTCAAAAAATTATTTATATTATTTATAAAAATTATTTATATGATTTTATGTAGTGAATTTAATTGAGGTAACTATATTTTTGTAACTATTTAAATATTAGTAGATTTAAAGAAATATTTTTTGTAATGAAATTTAATTTTGTAACTTAAGATATTTAGTATAAAAGAATAAAATTATAGTTAACTATTTAAAGTAAAAGAAACTATATTTTGAAGTATTAAGAATCTGAAAATTCATTTAAGAATAAAAGATTGAGGCTCAATGATGTAAAAACTATGAAATATTTATAAGGTAAAGAAATGCTTTGAGTTTCAAATTTAAGGAAAGAAAAGTGAAGTTCAAAATCATTAAAGGCTACCAGATATAGTAATTCTCACTTGAAAAAGGAAAAAGAAAGGATTGAAAACAATCTCTGAAAAGAAAAGAAAAATATATAGAATTGAAAGTAATCCAAATGAAAAAAAATAAAAGAAAGAAAAAAAAATTATGGAAGTGAGGAGAAGCTTGAGGGTATGTCTAATAAAAAATTGGCTTCACTGGACCTACCTAAAGGGAAAACCTAAATACATTCCTGAACTTATATTTATGGAATAGATCTTTTACTAGTAGAGTTCTCATGAAGTTCCTATCTTTTGAATATTCTAAGTGACTTAATATTGCCACATGTAGTCATTCTTGAAATAAATAGAAGATTAGAACTCTTAAACTTGATGACTAGATAATCTTGTGGCTACAGAGTTAATTCAATTACTCGAATTTTTTCTCAAAATCTCACTATGATATTTATTTAAATTAAAATTATAGTATTTCTGAATTAAAACTTTACTATAATAGATCAAAACTCTTACATAGTACTAAAATTACTTAAGGACAAGTAATAGTTAAGTTTGGGGGATTTTGACCAAAGGAAAATATGTTGAGATTTTCATATCTATTTTATACTATTTTTTATGATATTGCACTTTAAAGAAAGATACTTTTAATGTTTTGTTGTAGGAATGATGAATTAGGGTCATTGGAGCAGAAAGATACAAAAATGAGCTAATTTGGAGCGAAAATGGCCAAAATGTGCAAAATTGAACTAGGGCGCCGACGACGATATTGACCCCGCCGACGACGAGATTTTCCCGAGACTCCAGAATTAATTCATTAAGAAGGTCCGCCGACGGCGAG